AATTTCCTTTTCTTCCGTAGTTACAGTTGCTCGTCGAGTTCTTTTTCTTGATTCCACATTTCCAGTGTTAGTAAAATCATTCACAACTCTGTAAAAGGTACTTCTCGAAGGCGTATTTCGATCAGGAAAATCTTCTCGATACAAAGTTATACTATTAGCAACATTTCTGCCACTTTCTCCATAAATAAAAATCACTTCGAATTTTCTGCCACACTTAGAGTATCCATGATTTAATGACTTAATGTAAAACGATGGAAAGAATTCAGAATTTGTTGCCAAGCAGTTTTTATGCAAATTTAGTGTTACCTGTTAATTTTAAAACAATTCAACCAATTAAGTCTCTGAAAGCGATATTCTGAAAATGCCGACATAAGCAGTTCCACGAACTCTTGTTTTTTATGCGTTAATCTATTATCAAATTGACAAAGGCGGAGAAATGTCGGAACCTTTTAGACCTCTTTCCAAAGGTGTTGAGCCAAAGTTGTTGAGCATTCTTAAATAGTATTCTAAGAATTAAGAACTAAAGACAATGTATCGAAGCGGGTAGGAAAATGTTAAAAATTCATACATTTTATTTGTTCTTGCTAGATTATAAACGTTAGTTAATTGTTTCTGAAGAAGTTTCAATTTTTTTCAAAAGATGTTTTGCCATTGTACTGGCAAGACCAAACAGTACATTTTTTTAATTTACAGATTCAGATTTTACAATAAAATATATAGGGTGTCATTTAAAAAATTGGCCGTGACCTTCATAGAACTTTGAAAATAAGGTCAAGGTCAAAAAATGTTATCGTCACATTGTTTCCCCCTTCGCACAGAACAACTTTCATTTGGTTCATTTTTATGTAAAATAAACGGTTTTCGAGATAATCACTTGTCTCACATTAAATGGACACCACCCTGTATATGGAGTAATGGCATACAAAATTTTTAAATTTGTTTCATATTTGAGCTGCGATTCTTGCACTACGTTTTCAGTATTGCGACGAGTAGACGAAAGAAAGAATATTAAAAGAAAATAACAATATTCTTTATTATTATCGTGTCTCATCTGCGGTTTCCTTATTTCGCCTATTATAACGTAAATTCGCTTGTCGTAACCATTTGCTTACTACCAGCTCATATTCTTTATCAGTTAAATGGAAGCTCTTCCTAACTGTGGTGATATATAAAAAAACTTATACAAAACTTACCTACGCCATTCTAAACCAATATTCGAACGATTCGAATTGATTCGAACTGAGAACCCAGAGAACAGAACACTAGAACAAGATTGAACAAGATGTGACAAGACGCTAACGCGTCACCGCGGCTTAGTACATGCGCATACGTTCACAGGCGCTGATGAAGATATTTCAGACATGTTTCAGACACATTTGTAGCGAAATATTTCAAATGAAATGTTTCTGCTACATATTTTAATGATATTTCATAAATATTTCTACTGAAATGTATTTGATACATATCTTTATCTACAACTATTGAATTATCTATTCGTTATACAATTGATTTTTGACGGCTAATGACACTCATTACCCATGACAGACAAAGTGTTGAATAATGAGGCCATTATTCCACACTTCTGACACTGCCTACTAATCAAAAAATAAAATATTAACAGAAATGACAGCTTTCTTATATTGAGGTTATGTCTGAAATGTCTATCAAGTTTATTTTTTTTTCGTTTTTTTTGATTTTTTTTTCAAAATTAAATAGTTGTAGATAAAGTATAGTATTCAACTTGCGTATAATGGATGTTACCCACTCAGATTACAACACTCGCTCGCTTCGCTCGCTCGTGTTGCAACTTCTTCTTCGTGGGTAACAGCCGCCATTATACGCTTGTTGAATAATATACTATTAGATACCTTTCGTAAAAATCGTATCTGTCACGTATATGAAACGTAGTTCTAAGATGTTTCATTTAATTCACTGTACGTTAAAATTGAAATGTTCTTTTATTTATTCAGATTTAATATTTCAAATTATTTAAGATTAACGATCCTAACCGGTAGTGTTACGAAAGAATTTTTAGTATGGGCTTAAAAGAATTAATTTATTACTTAAATAGCAAATTAAAGATTTTGAGAAAAATCTCTTTCTTACAATTTCAAATCTTGCGTCAAATAACCTCAAATGTCACGAACGAGTTGATTGAAAATTAGCTAGCACAATCAACTAGTACAATAGTGAAATTGTAATTAGAATTTGACCAATGAACATCCAGACATTTTCTTGCCCTTTGCAATGTTGGCTAGACCTCGAGAATACCTAAAGTTTGTGAATCCTCATGCCTAATGTATTAACACGTTGACTGCCACGACAATTTTCAGGATTCCGGTCCAAAAAGACAAATTAATTTTATTATGTTATACTGTTATAAACTCTAAATTAGGGTTAATATAAATAATCAAAAAGCGTAGGGAATGTGTTTTTTAGAAAATAACGATCATACGAATTATCCCGTAGTTGGCTTCTGTTACAAAAAACTCTTCGCAGAACGAGTTCTCTTCGAGTTAATTCGTACATACCAAACACGTTTCGACTTGTCGCTTGATGCGTCTAACTTCGTCAGTAGAAAATCAGATATATAGTGGAGTGCATTACATTTTTACGTCTTTCTTGAGTGTGTATCTTTATAATTTTTATTTATAATTAATAATATTAATTAATTATAAATATCTCAATATGGATAAGAAACGACGACGGACTGAAAAACAAGTTGATTTTTACAACAATCCCAGGAGTGCGGGAAGTTAGCCCCCCATTTTTTGATTTTTAAATTTTTTATTGTTGTTCTAGATTGGTCTAGAGTTGTTCTACATTGTTCCAAAGCGGCAAATCGAAAAAATAAAAACTCCGCGAGAAAACCGAGAAAACGGGTTTTTTGACTAGCCCCCCATTTTTGGAAAAATCAAATTTTCTTTGTTGTTCTGGGTTGTTCTAGTTGTTCTAGTTATTGTTCTAGAAAATCAAAATTATGGGATACAGCATTACGAAGTTATAACTAAAAATAGGTTTGGCCGCCGAAATGTCTAGTTGATTGCTGTGACC